AGAGACGATACAATTTTAATTTTCCTCTTGTATTCATTTTCGGTGTATTTAATGCAATAGGATTCATTTTAGGAAATCTTGATGATGCTCCTATATGTGATCTATTCTAGATTCAAATAGCAATTCAATCTTTGGATGATGAATTTTAGTTGTCAAATTCACCATGATTGACAAATTCCATACTCTTCATACTAACACCACGAAAGACTGATTTGAGGATGTGATTCGACGGTTATTCTGCTTGGTGGATCCGATAGCCTAGTTGTCTAATATGCCTGTTTAGAGAACAGGTGAGCCGGGATCGAATCCCAGTCGAGTCACATTTTTTCGATTTAGTTTTTCTTTCATTTATGTTTGCATACTCAAATCCACTCTTTCGTATCTATATTACAGGATGGAATTTTCCTCTTGTGAATTGTTTATAGTTTTCAAACTATTTTTTTCCACAAATTTGGCTGAAATCGAAAATTATTGTGGATAAAATCAAGAATAAAGTGGTGTGTCTATCAACGAATTGAAATTTTTCAAAAATCGACTTGGAAACTAGACTATTAGCATTGAATGGCGACGTTATCTTAAGAAAACTATTGAAAGTAACCAATATATCCAGTGCTTTTCCTAAACATACCAATTTCTGGAAGTTTATGGCCAATGTAAATATTTTCAGTTTCGCTAGTCAATAGTTTGTGGGATCATCAGTTTCAAGAAAACATGTTTTATGTTTTCGAACCACCTAAACTTTAGTTTTGGCAGTATATCAAGCTTATTAGAATGAACTTGCCTCTAAAAATAGTGGTGTTAAAATAAAAATTAGATTCGGAGAATGATTTTGAATTGTTTCACACGTTGAGTTCGAGAAGTCTGAAAATCAACCTGATTTGCGTGTTCCGAGTGTTTCTTTATGTATGTGTTTTGGGAAATGACATCGACAACATTTACAATTATTCAGACAGCTGGAAACATGACAGCTGAATAACAATTGCTTTGCTCACCTTTCAGTAACCGGCATTGTTTTCGATGTCAATTCGTAAAACTCTTGATTTCTCGGAGTCCCCAGTAAATCGTCAAAATCTATAGCACTTTCAATGTCAACTTCCTCAGAGAGGAGGACTGATAAATCATATCCTATATCAATACCCGATTCGGCCATTTTATCACAGTTCATTCACACTTCGGAGGGTTTCGAAAAAAATATTGGGTGGTGCTGCCGCATTGTAACAGAGGGGGCTAGTGCCCGACACTCGACGCCACTGTCATTGGACAAGCTAGTGGTTCGGACGCAACTAATTTTTTTGAAGGCGTCGCAAAGTCACGGACGATCGGTGTGTTGCGCTGTTTGTGCTTACTCCAACTCACGATGAGTTACATCTGGTGGGATAAACGAATCACGAACGATGCGAATTCATCTGAACATCCCGACAACTGAACACTCGCAATCGCCCGGCCAGTCGGAAATTCCGAAAATCTAAATCTTGGCTGTGTTTCCGCGATGATAATTCAACTTACGAGACTGATGCGTTTCATAGCTCGCTGCAATGTGTCCTAACCAAAATAAAAAATTGATAGTCATTTTTCGATACGTGCTTTCATTCACAGGAAGAAAATAAGTTTTGAATTAAATCAAACCCATCATTTTATTGAATCATCTACAGTGTAGATGCTCACTAATATCTTATGAATTGTGTAGATTCTACACAATTCATAAGATAGTAGTGAGCAGAAAATAAGTAGTTTATTGGTTCCATTTGTACAAGAAGACATTACCCTCATAGGATGTGGAACATGTTAATTTGAATAAATAACAATAAAAGTAAACAAAAACGATCAGTGTAAATAAATGAATTGAAACTTAAACAATCCATTGACAGTGATAAATCATCCAGATCCAGCAATTCACCTTCATACAAAAGCCGATCTTTCATGGCTCATTTCAATCTTGGGAATAGGAAAAAGTCGCAAGTGGCTAACTTTGGTGAATACGGTGGCTGAGGCATGATTACGGCGGCTGAGGCATGATTACGGCGTCGTTTCTGACCAGAAAATTAGGAACAAGTAATGACGAGTGAGCAGGTGCATTATTGTGATGCGAAAGCCGTGAATTGTTTTTTCACAATAACGGACGTTTTCTTATTAGCCTTACGACCATGTGGCAAGAACGCACTACGGTGATCCAAGAAAACAGTGAGCAAAACCTCGACATCTTATCGAACTTGGCGTGCTTTTTTGGTCTTGGCTCTCCTGGACTATTCCATTGGGACAATGGGCTCATTTAACAATTTTTTTATTTCATAATTTGAAAGTTTACGTTTCAAATAGTACATCTGCATAAAATCTGAATTTTCACTCTTTATCTTCCCCTCAAATTAATTATTGAAAGTGGCGTTCACCGAAACGGGGCGTGGTCAAGCTTGACGTCACATCAGTCGACTCGCCGACAAGGGAGGGCTGGCGGATAAAGCCGGCCGCAAGTTGAGACGCAGGTCGTGAGGTGACGCATGGTGAGTCACGGTGAGAAAAAACTGCGGGTGGGTGGACCCCCACAAGTTGAAACGCAGTTTGAGCCTACAGTTCTTAGGTGACGTGTCTCTTGCCTTTCGATTTTCAAATGGATTTGGTTTATGAACTTTCAATTGATATCAGCTCCGAATCTGAGTCAGAAAATGATGAGGAGGTTGAATCGATTATTTCTGCTAGCTTCATATCGCTTTCCTTTGCCACTTCCTCCCATATTCAACCTTTTTTTTGTTCGCAAATAGTCCTCATAGCTAGTCGTAGAAAACGCCACGATTTCTAACTGCCTCTACTAATTTTTCTTTCATTTCACTTGACACGCCGTGACTCACTGAAAAAATCTGCGGAAGGAGGACTGCGTAACGCAGGGTCACGGACCGTGAAAACTGCGTCACATCACCCTGCGTCGGAACTTGCGGGGTTCCTATCATTTGTATGGTTCGCAGAAACTCAACGTGACTCACCCTGCGTCCCCTCACGGACCTGCGTCTCAACTTGCGGCCGGCCTAAGCGGAATACGTGTGCTAAAGCCGTAGAAAGCAAGTTGTGTTGGTGTTTACTGCAGTGTGTCAACTGCGTGAATATGGATAGTGATAAAAAAATAACGTTACAAGTATTGCATCCTTCCTAAATGCAAGAATTTTTCGGTACTTGCCACCAGACAAAATTTTTATTTCACTATTACGAAAGTTATGGCAGCGCCCTATGCGGACGGCCGACTTTGTATCTGCCAAGAGAACGCATTTTTGTTGCGAAGATCATTTTAATGTAAGTATGAATGATAATGATTAATACAAAAATTATAGTTTACTCTGAGCACTACTTTGAATTTTAGGTTGAAACAGACTTAGAAAATTACATGTATATCAAAACTGTGAAAGTGGGAAAAATTATATTGAAACCAGGCGTAATTCATCCGCATATATTTGATTGCCAGATTGATAGACCGACGGCCCATACATCTAAAGCTCCACCGTTTGTTCAAAAAAAGGAAAAACAAATTTTGTTGGATACTTGTAACGAAGATATCGCTGAAAATCAAATCATGTCTGATGAAGCAGGTACACAGGAAAAAACCTTTGATGTTGGAATTCAAGTTAATAAACAGGTTTTTCGAAGATCAAAAGCTATCAGACCGTAAATATTATATACCACCGAAAAAGAAATCGTTCTAAAGAAATACAAAATACAGAAAGTATTGAAAAAAATCACTACTAAGTTTCCCCGAGGACAGTGAGAGTTTGAGTACATCAGACATGACTTCTGTTGATACATCATCAGATTCTACTTTGTCTTGAATATAAGTTGAAAACTGGAATTCGAAAAACAATATCGAGCGAAGATCTATTTACGTCATAGAGAAAAATCCGAAATTATGTCTTGGAATCCCAAGGTACTCTTATATAGAACTTATGTCCCAAAAATTCCAGTTACCCAGAATTGATATATTCATTACTCTGAAGAAAATTAAATTGAATTGACGATAGCAGCGATTCATAATCTCCAACTAAAGGCCCGGTTGTTACCGCTCGAAGCTTGTTTGCCTGGTGTGACGTCACGATGTAGCGCGGGCGATCTCACATTTTCAATTGCTCTTGCTCAGTTGTTAATTGAGATATAAACCGGAAAATTTTGTGGGATACTTGGGAGATGATTTACTTTCATAATATATAATTTTCAATAAAAAAATTAATTAGCCTGAATGAGCCCATTTGGTTTCGATGTCATAAACATGTACCCGTGATTCGTCATCAGTTATGACCGTTTTAAACAAATCTGGATTTTACACACTTCACTGCCACACGCTTGCTTCATGAAAAAATTTACGAAAAAATGGCATGGCATGAGCCAACCGATATGCCGACATTCTCAGCAACTTCTCTAATAGTGATTCGGCGATTCTCCATAACAATTTTCTTCACTTTCTTAACATTTTTATCGATTGTTGATGTGCAGGGGCGCTCAGCGCGAGCGTCATCATTCAGATCTTCTCGACCTTATGTAAAAAGCTTGTACCACATGTAAACGTTTTTCTGACTGTTAACTGCTAATCGGTTGATTTTCTAGAAAAGACACCGCCTACTATTTCCACACTAGAATCCACAATACAGGAAATTACTTTTCGGCAAGGTCTTCTAGTCAGGCGAATTTTGAAACAGCTCAATATCAACAAGGCGTCTGTCCTGATGAAGTGCCCGTCATCGTACCAGTATTTTGCAGACTTTTCAACCTGTCTTATAAGGAAAGGGTTTTTCCTTCTTGTTGGAAGATTGCTCGCGTTCAGTCCATTCCCAAAAAGGGCAAGAAAAATCTTCCAATATGAGTGATATAAAAAATCATGGAGAAAGCCGTAAACCACCATATCCTTAAATATTAGGAAGGCTTTATCATCTTGAGCGATCATCAATATGACTTTCGGAAACAAAGATCAACAGACGACCTTCTATCGTATGTCACTCATATTTGGAATAACGCAATCGAGAAACATGGAGAGTCAAGAGCTGTTGCGTTTGATATTTCTATTGCTAGCCAAACGTCGATGCTATAGCTTATCGGATCACTCTTCTGCTTCCTGAAAGAACGTTCCCTGCAATGGATATCTCTCGAATACTTTTACCATCAACGCTGGTGTTTCCCTAGGATTCATATTGTCTCCAATCCTTTTTTTATTGTATATCTACCACTTGTTGAACAAAACCATGAATCCAATATATTGCTCTCCTGACGACAGCACACTTGTCTCATCATTCCATTTGGATTCCAGTACATCTGCGGCGGATCTAGAAGAATTGGGGTGAAAGCAACCATGTTCAATTCAGTGCCACGAAAATGTCTCCGAACCGGATATAATAATATCAAGACAGAAAATAGAAAATGCTGCTTCGATAAGTTTTTTGGAGGTTAAAATGGACACCAATATTGGCACAATCATGTCGCTTGAATTGCAAAGGCAACTTCTCAAAAGTTCGAAACACTTTTCCGAACCAGAAAACTGTACATACTTCAGCAACTGTTGATGCTTCATAAAACAGAAAAGAGCCATCCGCTTGATTGGAGACACGAACATCACTTGTAACCTAGGTAGTCTGGAACATCGAAGAAAGGTTGGAGATGTGTCCCCCTTTTATGGGGGTTCAAGTGACTTGGCATATTTGATTCCACCAAGAGCGGTACATATCAGAAATTCGTGACGAACTGTGGCTGCTCATGTTTCGAGGTTCAGCTCAGTACACCTCGAACTTCGCAGTTCAAGAACTCTTTCATTCGGAGAACTGCGTTTATGTGGAATAAACTTTCTGAGAACGTTTTTTCCAAATGAATTCAATCTCTAGCGATTCAAATCCAATGTGAATCGCTATTTTTGCACAGGCACCGATATTAGAGCACCTTGAGGCTGTAGTGCTTGTGTTTTATCCTTAAAAGAAATCGAGTGTATGTAGCCCACGAAATTTGCCCATCCTTGCACTTGGCTGCTCCGTATTGATGATGAGTCAGAAACTCGAAAGACGTGTCTATGGTTTGCACTTTTTTGAGTGCTATGTCCAATAAAAATAATGTCTTAAATTTATACCAAGACACTATATTTTCCAAATATGTTTGATTTCCGGGACCCGGATGTGACACATCTGCCACATCTGTGACATAGCTGCCTCCGTGGTAATTTTAGTAGTATTCTAATAACCGAAACCACAAATGTGCGGCTGGCTTCTGCTGATGGCTTCAAGCATTTTTACTTTTTTAGCAACCAAGTTAGCCCATCCTTGCACTTGGCTGCACCATATTAAAGTTGGGCCAAATGTGCTATGTCCAATGAAATTATTTCTTTTAAGATCCTTTCTTACGCATGGATCCTCCGAAATTACGTTTAATGTTAAAAAAACTCCTAGCTACTGAGCTGCACTAATCAGACTTAACAGAAAGCAAACAGTGGATATTTTTAACAAATGCCAACCGGAAAATTGACCATAAGAGTCCGTTTCCTTTTCCCATATAGTAGTAATTTCAACTTCAGTGAAGAAATGTACTGTTAATATAATTAACATGAATCGTTAATAAAGAAATAGCTAATGCTGTGGTAAGCATTATGTTAACATAGTTTAATTTTTTAAATCAGCGAAAATGAAATGTACCAACAGTCGTTTTATAATGTACTTGTTAAATTATTTATATGAAGTGATGTAGATGTAGTGTGGATTTTTTATACAAACAACGAAAATCAGTATGATATACTCATATTTGCTAAAGCTGGTGGTGTTTGTGTTCTCTATTAAATTAGTGTCTTCTGGTTACGATTATGAGGATTACGATGCAGTAGGCACCGATTTGGATAGGCAATGGAATGAATTCAAGGTACCTTGTTTCAAAAGTGAAAATTTACATCTGTGACAATATCTTCAATTTTATTCTGTCCAAGTTACAAAAAGTAATTGAATTGATCCCAAGTTATTTATTTAAAGTTTTTGGCATCGACATTTTGTATGGAAATAGACTTTTTTTACTGAGGCCATATTTGCCACTTTAGGGCAAACACCATTCCTTTAAGCTCTTGAATGCGACGTATATTCTAGGCGGTAGGGTTAATTTTGGGAAAGAAGAAATAACAAGGTGCTCAGTGGCTGTGCAAGACCTAAATTCAATATGGGCAAGGTTAATTTCGCGAGGCCTCTGATGGTGCAAGAAAAAGGGTTCATGAAATAAAATAAAAAATTGACATTTTTTATTCATTGAGAAACACTTACCAAACTTTTAATTATGTACTTTTTTGAAACGTATTGAAACCTCAGTCAAAGTAATTGACACTGCGGCTATTTACTCATCGAGACCTTTAAAATGAGCCCAAACACGTTACGTCTGCTGTAAATTGCCGAAGAGTTGGTCCTTTGCAGACTGTTTTGGTTGCAGCATCAAGTCGAAGTAAAAATGTTATTGTACATAGTCTTAAAAATATCGAATTTTTGTTCCGATCAGTGTTTTCGTTTTAAAACTATGTAACACTATTATTTATTCTCACATCAAATACTTTTAAAAATTATAATATAGGAACATGAAGCGAGACTGCATCTGCATGCGATACTTTGATTGGCTTTCTAGGAAGGGAAAGTCCCGACGTCTCTGACCGGGGATGTTGCCAGTCTAAATAAAAACGAATGATCAGAAACGGCAAAGATGTCAATTATTCAATTAACCAATTTTATAATATAGTTTAAAATGAAAAGAAATATAATCATGAATTTTTCATCCATATGCTTTCGTGTGCCGGTGAGTGAATTATATTTGATTGAGACTTTTATAATGTATTAATTATTAAAAAAAAACATGGCGTTTACTTTTGGATTTTCCACACTTTTTTGAAATTCATTGTTGGCTTTAAGGCGCGAGGCCCTTTGCAACGCGAGGCCACCGCCCACGCCTCACGTCGCTTCTGAAGTGCTAATTGTTTTAAAGCGAAGTTCGGGTTGATAAATTTTCTCACTTGCAGGCAGGCTTTCCCATGGATAGGGGCGAAGACATAAATACCTATAGAATGAGTTGGCAGGATTTTCCCTCGTTCTGTTATTGGTTAAAAAAATCAATTTTTCCGGAGTACTCTGAAGATACATTTTTTGTGAATGATTCTGCGAAAGAACCTGATAAAACGTAATTTCCATGATTTTTCACTGAAAAGAACCCTTGTGTTTTTTCCTGTAGGGACTAAATCAGAAAGATACGTATTATTCGATTTTTTTTTTCATTTATCCAAGTAACACTCCATTGTGCAATTTTCACTGAACAGTTTACAAAACCGCAACAGGTGTTTTGTTATACAATACTCCCCAGGCGTTTTCATACTGACAAAATTCAACATGATTGGTGCTTCATATAAAGATTTGAATCAAATGACGTTCTGGATATGTAATGAATTAATTACCAAACGTATTCAAAAAACACTTTATCGTGATATTTTCACTAAACAGTTTTACAAAATCGCAACACGTGTTTCGCCATACAATAGTTTCTTCGGGCGTGTCTTTACAAAAAAATGTATTTTCTTATATGAATTATTCACCATTTCAATAGTGAATTTAATTGGTGGATGAATGGAATTAACATATTATCCAACTTATCCATAACAAGACATTTTTTTTTATTCAGAATGAGGCCATTTTCAAGACTATATCTTTCTATTTCACCAGATGCCTTGTTACTTAATGTTGTTAATCGGTCAATGTTATTGTGGGACGTCAGATTATTAATGTCATCAGCATATGTTATCATTTGATTTGCGAAGGTACAGGTGTCATCAATGTTACTCAAAAAGGCTATAAACAATAGTGGTCCCAGAATTGAACCCTGTGGAACCCCTGTATTTATTATTTCCATCTAGTATCGACCAATTCCATCACCTGTAGAGGAGACTATTCTGAAACGTTAACCAAGATAATATTTAATTGAAGAATCACCAAGAAATAGTTGATGGCTTCATCGATTCCTTCAAAAGTGGTTATTTGTTAGAAAATCATGGTTGAACAATTGAATAATAATTCACTTCCATTCCATTATATCAAAAACAGATAGGACTATATAGGATGATTGTGTAGGGGTATAAATTGGGTCCTTGACAGGGTTTTTAATGATTCAGAAAATAATGAAGAGACCACAATCGACATATTTCAGGTTTATGTATATTTTCGAAGGTTTTCGAAATAGTTTTACATAAATGACAGTTCTTCCTCAGCTTTCTTCACGTCAGCATGGGTTTGTGTTACCAATTTATTAATTAATTCATTTTTACGATTCTTATCGTCACAGCAGAATATATTTTTTGCGTTTTTTGTTACAGGAAAAATTTAATAAAACCTATTCCGATTACCATGAGTTAGTAAAAAAGAGAGTTTGGCAGGAAAACTTAGAAAAAATCAAGAAACACAATGAAGAAGCTGCTCAAGGATTACACTCTTTCTACATCAAAGAAAATCATTTGACCGATATGGTAAGTTTCCCTAATATAGCAAAGAATTTGTCTACCTTCGATTTACGTTTTATACATCATTGGAGAAAGCGTGAAAATTTGTGGGGCTGACAAAAATCAAAATCAGTCAGATGACTGTATCAAAAAGAGATACAGGCGTATTGAAATTATAAATATTTCGAAATAGAATTCGAAACAATGTTCCTACACAGTAGGATCTGGTAAAAGCATGCCGAAAAAACAACTACTTCCCCGGCTAATACCACTTTGGGAAAGAAAAGTGTTTCCAGTTTAATTTCCAAATATTAATTTTCTCAATACATTAGCATCTCTGTCTTCACACTGATTTTGATTTCTGTTGGCTGCGGTGTCGCCTGCGTAGAATTTGGTTTGTCACATTAAGTTTCGTGACAGACCATTTTAAACAAATAATCACAACAACCCGAAACGTCATGTTTCCAATTTCAAAACTGACGAAACTCAATGAATCTCTGAACCCTTATTTTTCCCCTTGGGATGGAAATTTCTGATTCCCTTCCTTGATGCTTATTTACACTGTACAAAGAACTTACCTGCATATTTCAAGATTCTAGCTTCAGTAGCTTCTGCTGTACGTTAATATAAGAGCGAGCTACAGCTAGTAACTTATATTTATACTATATACAGTAACTAAAAAAATATGCCAACTGTACTAAGTAATGAATAGCGTGGAGAATCTTATTATGTTACCCATAAAGAAATTCGCAAAACTAACACAACCGTCAACGAAGTCTGCCCCCGTTCGGATCGCGTTCTCGGCAATGTCGCTTCATTGCTTAGACCGCCCCTCTACCTCCACGCATCATCCCCCGTCATCTTACAGTAGACGCGACGCGTAATGGCTTACTGCTTTGCCTCAAGTTAATCTTATCGTGATAACTTTTGAACTATTCGTCCAAATTACTTAGTGCGACAAAGTTCATTTATATTAAATACTTATAAAGACAATTGTATCAATTTTTATAAGAATTTGAAAGATATTCAAAAATGTGCATTCAAAAAAAATATTCAATTTAATTGTGTTTATGGCTCAGTATTTTCTATATAGTGGCTACCAGATAAGAGGTGGATATATGCTATCGCGGACTTTCATTTAGAGCCATTCAAGATAAACAATCTTACGGTACATTATCTGCATGTAACTCCAACGATATATAGGCAGCGCACGCCAAGATAGTTCCCAGGAAGCAAGATTTTTTTCGACTTACTTAATACTTTTCGTTATATCATTACCAAAATTACACAAAACCTATGTAAATTGTAGCCTATGTGTTATTCCGATGTATAAGCTGTATTTATGTAAAGTTTCATCTAAATCCGTTAAGTCGTTTAGGCGCGAAAGAGCCACATACATACATATATTTATCCTCACAAACTTCCATATTTATATCAGTATAGAAGATAGAAGATTTATATTAAAATAACTATATTTTTCCAGACAGTACAGAGTTATCTACAAACAATGGTTAAACTTACGAAGAGCCGACATCGAAAAGTAGATCCCGAGCAAGTAGGAGACTTTTATGATAAACTAATGCATTTGCCTGAAGAAATTAATTGGATTGAAAAAGGTTTCAAGACTCCACTTTATAACCAGAGGGACTGTGGTTCCTGTTACGCCTTTAGTATAGCTAGTGCTATCCAAGCCCAAGTTTTCAAGCACACTGAAAAACTTGTTCCATTGAGGTGAATATTTGCATTGGTAACTTGAAAAAGTTCTGAGCTATCACTACAATCTCAGTGTTTAAATAACAACTGCATAGTTTTTTTAGTTTCCACGTGTCATGTTCAGAACTTACTCAGAAGACTCGAACTATATGGAGAGTTAATCTGGCAAAATTGTAACTCTTTCTCCATCATCTGTTTCACCAACTGTATTGACGTCATCAAGAGATGTGTCAAACTAATTCGTAAACACTAACTTCAACTGCTCATATGCAACATACTGACCCCCGTTTCATTTTTAGTCATACAATAATTTTTGTAGTATAAATTTCCCGCTTATTCGAAGAAACTGGTTTATGAAATTGTGAACAATGATATGATATGTTCAAAGTAAGACATTTGTCGCTGTTAATAGTTCTCATGAAACACTTTCTCTATTTCCAGACTTTCAAAACGTCCTAACAATCTGGTGTCACGTACAGATCGTAATAATTTCAGGCAATGTTTATAGGTTTTCTCTACCGGAGTCACGAATAAAGACATCAAAATCCGGGTTTATAGGCCGGGGTAGAATTGAATCTAAATTACATCAGGTTTCATTCGACCACGGCCTACCAGCCCGGATTTTGATCTCTTTAATGTTCATTCATTCTATTACTAAGGCATTCATTCTATTACCAAGGTATGTTGAGCGACACCAGTCTTTTCTGGTATACGAAATAGGATTTATGCTGCATGTTCAGATATGTACAGCGCTGTTGAATATAAATGGCATAAGTGTTTAGGCGATGTTGGGGGTTTCATGTGATCCGTGTCGAAGAATGAAAGGACCTGTGCCATATCAGATATTGCCAACGGGTATATACGAGGGAACTTCCCACATTGCTTAGTCTTGCATTCATGCATGGATATGGACAACCCTTTATCTCATACACGTGGCAACTAAATTTATCTCAAATATGAGTAGAGGACTCTACAAACGACTCCTCTAATCTGTGATGAGAGTACTACAAGCCAACCTACAACGCAGTAAATGGACTCAACCGACCTTTATCCTAATTCTACAGAGAAAAATGAGATTGGGAGAGACGTAACATCAGCTGTTACAGAAATGGGATGGGTTTTGAAAGAATTTGATAGAATTTTATAGATTCACAGTTAGCAGCAGACCGATTACAAGAAGCTATCTTCTCAGCAGATAGAGAACATTGTACCGCATTAGCTAGGGATCGAACAGGAATGTTCCGAATGAGCTATGAATCCATTTGAACCATAAATATGAATGGTCGAAACTAGGCAGCAAATATTCAGTACTGTTACCTCAAAAACTGTGTGGATTCCTCTGGTTTAAGTCTGACTATCTAAAACATTAGACAAGATTCAACGAAGGCATTGAATTCCATGGTTATTTGTATTATATGTTGTATAAATATTGAAAAACTATATCGCAGGCATGTTTGGGCGTATTACTGGCTAACAGACAACTATATTTATTCCAATATGCGAAAACGTTGGTATCTCAACGTAAGTGTCTGGTCGCGGAAAAACACAATATGCTTAAAAGAACAAAGAAGTACTTTTAGCTGTTTTTTTTTGTATATTGAGGGCATATTCATTATTAGATTCAATCATCTACAAGTCAAGAAGAAGAGGGATTGACGATAGAAGTTGCAGGAGGACAGAACATATGCTTATGAAACGATTGGTCTACAGGACCATGATTTATATAAAGTACTAGTTTTTACAGATGACATATTCATCTTAGTCCAGGATAAATATCGTGAGAGGACGTAAGCTCATCAAATGATCACTGTAACATTCACTAAAAGGACCAATATATAAAGACCTCTGGAACTTTGACTTGGAATATTTGGGAGCGCTATCTGATTTCCAGGCGCACCTGCGAAACAACATGAGAGCTGAAATCAGACATAAATATAGTCAATGATGATCGAACCCATGATAAAATAAGGGTTGTGACTGGTTTTGTGGCCAAAGATGAAACATGCAGTTGCTAAACAAACTAGGTAACGCTTTGTTTGTTTGGGAGTAACAGTAGCATTGGAGACATATTTAAGGTAGGACGGTAGCCTGGTGGGTTGACGTGGGTGGTTTGCTCTACACACTCGATCGACCACTGTGTAAACCGATGGTTCGCACCGCAAGGCCGGACCATTTGATTTTCACTTCCCATCGTCCAACCCGTGTTAGGAATCACACGTTAGAAGGTAAGACCTCGTTAGTCCTTAGCTCTCACAAGTATCGTCTTTTGAGATTTGTCGTTCGTAGGGGCACGACAGCTGGTTAACAGAAAAACAGGTTTTTTTTAACATATTTCAATCTATCCCCTTTGCACAGGGGGAGACAAGATTTTGCCAATTCAAACTCAAAAATTCATCGCACTACAAGAAATCGGTCACAATGGACGTTTCGAATTATGTGAAGGAACAGACAATTAAACATATTCATCAAACTAGATGTCACCAAAGTACACTTTTAATACCAATTGTCGAAATTTACATTGTAACCACCGCTCGGTCAGAACGTATCCGTTTTTCAGACAGCTAAGTTGCACAATGATCCAAAAGTAACATCGAGACTTGTCAGAGAATGCTGTGAAAAACTGAGGGAACTTGCGGACCGGAATATATTGACTCTATTACCAGGTACCAAGAGAATTAGGAATCGCAGCAAGGAAAATGCTGATGAGGCTAGTCATGGATCATCGATCCCTTATATGGGCCTGAATCAACTGTGTGGCTACCAAAATAATTGGTACGGAACTAGATCATTAAATGGGTGAATAACGAAGGAAGAACACTTTTTACCTTCCACAGGAGAAACACAGAAGTTCACATTTAGTTTAAGTAATTTCCATATGCCATCAATTCAGTTGAAGACGTGCGTCGGGGAAGGTATTGTAATTCATATGTGTGTATTTTTATTGGATTTAAACTGTACTAACTCGAGAAATGACGAAGAAATTACTTCAAACACTTCTCTTTTTCACTTCTCTTCAAGAGCTGCTAAACGGCGATTCAGCATAAAGAGTTGCATTTTTTGTTAACTGAATAATACAATAATTACACAAAATGAAACTCGCACTCAAAAATCTAAATCTGATGATAGCCAGTTGGTCACTGGTTTCCACTCATGAAACCATCCCGATTACCCTTGGACAGTGGGTGGTCACTTACCCATGTGAGAAATTACACGTTAAAAGGTATATGATCTCGTTAATTTTCATCTCGGAAGAGTTTCGACTTCTGAGGGCTGTCGTTCATATGAGGACGATAGCTGTTTAGAGGAAGTGTGTTTCAACAGAAATTTGCTTTTATTCCTTTATTGTTATTTTTTCACTTGATAGGTAACTTTAAAATTCTGAATTTGATTCAATTCAAATTATCTAAATTACTAACTGGAATAATTATTTCATTTACTTCTTTTCAGTGAACAGCAAATAGTTGACTGCAGTGTTACTTATGGAAACTATGGGTGCGCTGGTGGATCTCTCAGAAACACTTTGAGATATTTGGAAAAAGTTGGAGGACTCATGACATATAATGATTATCCATACAGATCTAGGGTAGGCATTAATTTATATTCAGTCATCCATATGGAAAGTTTCAGAACCAAAATTATTTGTAAAAAATTATTTACGAAAGGATCCCAAATAAACATTATGGATTTTTACTTACTGGTGGATTTGGCTTGCGAATGGATAGAAGAGCCTTGATCTATCATTGCAGAAATTGAATCCTGCCTTTCATTTGGTCGTATTTTTTTGAAGATCAACAATGGAAGCCTTATTATCATTATTATTGTCCAGATCAAGAGTTCCATAGGGACAAAAAGTTCAGAAATTGGCAATTTTCAAATTATCAAGGCCGGAAGTTCTCGGAAAATGGGACAATTCTTCAGGCTGTCTCGACCTCTCATGAGGTCACCTAGCTAATCCAAATCTGGGGTCCGTTTGACACCTTCAGGTCAAGGCTAAGGGCAGTTGAACGTGAAATCAAGACAATACCCCAAAAACAAACGAAAATGTACTCATACGTTTTTGAGGTCCCTGAAACTGAATCTGAAGTCAAAATTAAAGACATTTGAAGGTTTGATTAATAAAAAAAACAGAAGCAGATAACATACTCAGTATACTTTTTTGAGGTCACCGGGTTGCAATTAGTTTGACTCTTGCAGGTCAAGGCCAAGAGCATTTAAAGGTCAAACCAAAGAAAAACCCCAAAAGCTGAGGAGAATATACATATTCTATTTCTTTCCTTATGAGATCAACAAAAATCTGATTTGGTTGAATCTGAATGTAGGGGTCGGTTATGCCATATGGGTTCAGGGTTTCATCAAGAAACAACATCAATAGCAGATGAGTATATCCGCTCAATATGAAAGAGTCATATAAGTTATGTATCAGAGGATTTAAGCAGACTATAAACCAACCGTCGGATCCGTAACCAGCAGTCTTAAATACATGTATAGTGAAAACATTCTGGTTCTGAGTTTTTTTTTTCATTTGATCCTCAGATGCGTCTGAACTTGGCCTAATGGAGTCAAATTATTCTTAAATCCAAATCAAGATAGCTTAGACACATATGGTAGACTATCCGTGTTGCCCGGTTTATAGAGTTTGTAATCATCATGCGACAAAACATGTAGTAAGGTTGAGTCTCAAATGCTTTTGAAACTATTCCTTGATTTAACCTTAAAATTTACTCTCCTGATTTGCTACGTAATGTAAGAAAAAAATAAAGCAGGTATATTCTCAACAGCTTCTAAGGTTTTTTCTTGATTTGATCTTCGAATGCTATTGATTTTGCCTTACTGATTTGGGAAAATGAAAAACGTATAGTGAGTATATTCTCATTTACTTCTGGGACATTACCTTGATTTGACATTCAAATGCTATTGTCAGTTTGACTCTAGCTATGGATTAAGCGACCTCAAAAACCTACGTTAGACCCAGTCTTGGCCACATCTGATGGTAGTTAAATAGTAATTGAGTTCTAGATTGATTTTACGTTTGTCAGATATTCTTTTATATTTCTATCTGTTAGTGTCAGGAGGTCAAAGTAACTTTGTGTTCTAATTGTGCAAGCAAATATTTTTTTCTGAAATCACACATCTTCGAGGTGTTAAGGATTGCACATAAAGGATCGGTAGTTGGCGATTAAAGAACTTAATTCAAAAAAAGATGGAAATATTCTGTATAGAAGAAGATTAACGGTTTATTAATATTTTCAGCAACAGAAATGTGCCTATGACAAGCACAGGGCGATAGTCAATATAACCTCCTGGTCCATTCTTCCAGCCCGTGATGAAAGGGCTCTGGAGGTTGCTGTAGCTAGAATTGGACCTGTGGCTGCTTCCATAAATGCAAGTCCCCACACTTTTCAACTCTATCAGTATGTATTATTCAGCATTTTTATGTTCAACTCGACATATTATTTTCAAAAGTTCTCATTCCAAATGAAAACCATTTTTTCTATAACTATTAAAAAAACAACAGTAACTAGTTGAGAAAAACAATTATACGGAAGCAAAAGTGGATGCTCCAGAATTTAAAGTTTTGATAGATCAGAATTCGTTAAGGTTTTATCGTTTGCAGGAATTATCTTGAAATTTTGTAATGCCAATGAATTTTCATTTTTTGAGTCTATATTGTTCATATGGTCCCTCTAGGTTCTCTGAGAGAAATGTTTTTTTCATTATAATTCATCATTGAAAATCATTTTTCCACGAATTCAACAACACTTTGAGATTCAACATGCACAGTTAAACAAATCTGTATAATGAAACATGTGTTCCAATTTTGTTGACTGTTAGATCTCATTACAAAGTGTTGTTGAATACGTTTATCTTGAATTTTCATCAAGCATAGATCAGTTTCATCACATAATTCTTCTTAATTTTATCAGCAAAGGAATATACGATGATATAACATGCACCTCCAACAATGTGAATCATGCCATGCTAGTTGTCGGCTACACGAAAGATACATGGATATTGAAAAATTGGTGGGGAAAACATTGGGGAGAAAATGGATACATGAGGCTGAGGCGACACAAAAATCGATGTGGTGTGGCGAATTATGCTGCTTATGCTTTGGTTTAATTTCAAAAATTTAAGAATATTCAGTTTACTTCCTAATTGTTTCCATCCAACAAATTACCAAAATATATATTGAGTCAGAAGTTTAAAACACGTATAAAAGCATACTTAACACATATCCAATCATAGGTATAAATTATTTGAGAAAATTTTGTGAAAGTATAAGTGGGTAGATTTTTCCATTGGATCACTTTCCATCATTTTTCCTTTACTCTTCATGTACATCCCCATTAAACTTTTCTCTTTATTCTGCGTTTTATTTTTATCTAATCATTCAACTATGACATTATTAGAAAAAAACCAATACTAATAGTGATTCTCACTTCATTGAAAATATTTGTAGTTGTGCACCAAGCCTTGTGCTCATGACGCGGCGTCTATTGATCATTACCTGTTGCCTTTACTATGATTATACTGTTGGGCAATCTGCCTGGAACATTTGCTGTTTGCTTGGGTTTCATAATACAATGATAATATAGTCAGACGTAGTATTCGAAATTATCAACTTTTCGGCGTCTTACGATACATGGCGGCACTTGAACGGATTTTAGTGAAGGAGCATGAGAACAGCATCTTACTTGATACTTTCTTCACTCTATATTTTTGCCCAGAATTGATCACCTCAACTAGGCCAATCCAAGCTTAGCTTCACTTTCCTGATTGAATGGTCAGTAAATGGAATGGAAATGAATGTTTACAGTCAATGGCAGCACTTGAGAAACGTCAATTGATTTTTATTAAAATATATAGATTCTTGAGATTTCAAATATACTGTGTTGGCAGGGTTCTACCATTCATTTTCATCCTAAATCTAATTATGGAAGGTGGTATGCATTATAACTTCTACAAAAGGTAATGTGAATAAATGTATATTGAGTCAGCATGAACGAGATATGAAAATACATAAATAAATGTAGATATCAACTGGCTGGTTGATTTATCATGTGCGGATGTTGAATTCTGCCATTTGTTAGGTTAGTATCTCTTGTACTGAGTAACCTTTCAATAAAAGCATTTATTGTTATTAAATAGAAATAAATGAAAAAAGAAACACAAAATATTGTCTCAGATAGCTTCCGAGTGGTCTTCAACCTGCTGCTTGGTACTTCAGAGAGATTGAAATCTAACCTCTTGTGGTTAGGAGTCTCTCTGATGTTACGATTTCTCGTCTGTTTTTGTACAGTCTACATGTATTGTTATACTTTTCGGAGTGCCCTCACCTACCCAACTTTATACCTATTCATTATTGCTTATTTCGAATAATAAAGTTGTTTGTTGAATGAAACAAAATCGAACTATTTCATTATTTATTTGAGATGACATTCAACAGTATAAGAACAGTTTATTACAAATTTAAAAAATACTATATACTGAAACCTTCAATCAAAATATTCGACCGTACACTCACTCATACCGACACTAACAAAGTGCAAAAGACATTCACACACCCATGTTCACGCAGCACAATCTGCACAATTTTTTTTAAATAAAATAGTTTTGGAATCCATTGTCTCATCACTATGATCCAAATCATTGTCAAAGTTTCATCAAATACTGATACGATCAAAAACTATTCAATTGCGGCAAGACAATGAGATATCTAAACTACCTACATTTTTTTTCCAATGAATTAATACGCCTATCATAATTCTAAATATGCATGTTAGTGTGTACTTAACATTTAAACAATGGCAATGGTACATGAACTGACACTTAAAAAAAATGATACAGGGTCTACATAATAACTCCTGAAACCCATTTGAACTCTTACAATTGGGTACAATTGGTATATGCTTTTTTTATTCATGGAACATCAAATCTGAACTACAGTTGCACATTTCTTATTTCTGAAAATGTCAAATTGAACACAACTTTTTATATTCATCAATTTGAGGTGAATTCACACCCTCATCAATTTGTATGCTATTTCATGATACATCTGAAAATGTGCGTGAAACAAATTTGAATAGTAAACTATTTTTTGAAAATGAAAAATAATTTACTATCTCCACCAACTGAATTCCGCTTCTTTATGAAAGAAATATAATTTGGTGTTTCTTTGAAGACAATTTAGGCCTACAAACAACACATGAAACGCTGACTAAAACATCAGAATAAATTCATTTTCATTTCATGAAAGTTTATGAGGGGCAAGTGAAAACAAAATCCCGAACTGTTGACATGCATCATCAAATATCAAATTGCTTTTTAAAACTCCAATACAATTGTTACATCGATAAAATAAAAATATTAAAAAAAACATTCTAGATATTTCCACAAATTTGTCAAGACTTGATGGAAAAATATAAAATAAACTCATTTGCTTCATAAAAAAAGTTAGAAAAAAGTTTGTACTTCTATATACAGTGAGTTCCAGGATTGATGTTATGAGAGGTGTGATGAGCTAAGCATATTCACATCTTATATTAAGATTGTGGGATTAAGCTCTGCTTGACGAGTTATAATTTCAAAAAACATTTTCGGTTTTTGAAAAACAAGTTGGTCGGTGAAGCAAAAACCATTTTTTCTTCTGATAGGATATAACAAAAATAAATGCAATTTCAGGAAATAATATCTACTAGGTTCTTCAGTCAACTTTTATCTAGAATGCTTTTTGTTGAACAGTAAGCAAATAAAATACCAGGTATAAGATTTAGCAGCACTAAAGCATCACTGCTCATGCATAAATTGAAGTTATCCCTACAACTGACATCATTTATATGAAACTGACAGTAATGTGTCAATCTATAATGATAACTTCTTCTTTATATTGACTTCATTAGTACATATTCAATAACACTTTGCGAGATTTTCACTGGGCAGTTTAAAAAACTGCAACTACCGCTTGCTCATTTTTCAGTAGCATACTTGTGAGTGCTCCACAATCTTTCACGCTCAAACACAAAAATCGGGACTAGATTGTCGGTCGGTATACCACATGTAGGTTTGTTTTGGTTCTATATTTTGAACAGTTCTAAACAACTGCATGAACCATTTTTCTATTGCACATGTGTAAGTTACACACTCAACCATCTCTCACAGCTCACATAAAGAAATCGGCACCAAATAAACACTAGATTGTCAGTCGGTCAACTACATGCAAGTTCTGAATTTAGAAAAGTTTCAAGTATATAACCATTCTTCTAGATTTAGAGCCTATATGTAGTTGACTGACTGACAATCTAGTATCTGGTGCTGATTTTTGTGTGTGAGCTGTGAGAGATAGTGGAACACTTACATGTTATGCGACTGAAAGAATATGGAAGCGGTTGTAGTGGTTTTGTGAACTCTTCAGTGAAAATCTCACAATTAAGTGTTACTTGAATAAGTTATGGATTTTCATCAAGTATCGGACAAATCCATCACATATTTCATTAGTACAATCACTAGAATAAGTAACGAGACTTCTGTTTGTAATTACAGCATAGACAAAAAATATATGAGGTGCAGTGTGAAATATTATTTCGATAATACTTTTAAAAATCATACTGTTCATGTGAATACACATTAAACTGTAAAACTGGTGTATAGATAGCTTTTACATTTTCATTATGACCAGTATTTCAATGAGGGCAAGAGAGAGGTTAACTTTCAAATTCCTGCCAAATTTCATTTGAGTGGATGGGGACTTTATCTATATCCTAGACAACATGGGATATCCAATCGATATTCATTTCAGGTCAAAATATCTTTGGGCATGAAATGGTCAGTAGATTTGTAAAAAATATCTATTGGTGACTATCCAATGGACACCCATTATGATATCCCAGAAGTGTACAACCTATGGACATACATCAAAACGTTAAATGGATATTCATCAGATGTCATGTCATCTAGGAATTCCATCCAGAAAATTATTATTCCAGTTAGAGATACTCAAAAGTTACCTTGTCTGGAAACAACTTAAAAGATAATTTTAGAAATGTAATCATTAGCTCTGTCCCACTCATAGAAATATCATTCATAATGAATCAAAGCAAATAAAAAACTCAACAGTTATATGCATGGATAACTGAAAGGGCGAAAATTAAAATATTCATAATTTTGCAGTAAGGTGAATCTACAAAATCAAGTCCTACAATGAAATTTGAATTCAGAACTATTACCAATTTTACAAAAACTAATGACTGTTTTTCTGAACTAATCGATCAACTTCTACCTTTCAGATCACCTTTATACTAGTAGTGAAAAAAGTAAAAATGTAGAAATCTTGTATCACCACCTATGATTTTTTTAGAAAAATCAAATTCCAAAATGTATCAAGTTCAGAAATTTTAAATATTTGAAGATTCTGCCATTAACATAAAGTAAATGCAAAATCAACTTCCAAAAAAAAATAGGAACATATCTATCTGTACTATTCAACTTCTTTCACAAATACACGATTTGAAGGCAGAAGTAAGTCGGTAGGCAAAAACTATAGCTAGTTCTTGGTATTTTGAGTTACTAAATAAAGATAAGCACAACTGCAGTTCCGAAATGTATGTGAAACATACTAGTGCACATAATTTCAAAATTTCAATTCAACTGATTTTGTGAATCACCATTTGGTCCATTTCACGTAATTTCAGTTTGCCCTTCATCTGAAATTATTAATGAGTTGTCATTTGATTTGTAATTTCATATAAAGTTATTTAGTTTTTGAGCTAAATTGCCCTAACACATGAAATTAACATTTTTTTTTGTTAATATCTCAAAAACTCTTGAAGAATCCAATCTTTGAAAAGAGATCCTTGAAGAACAGAACATTTACCAGAAACATTCTTGCCTCCTGAAAGAAACTATAGCAACAAGATTTATAGTTTTAATTGAGACACAAAAGTCTCTCACTGAGAAGCATACATGGAATTCTCTCTATTGTAATTGGTGCTGCATGCTGAAATGGGATAGGCCAAAACAGTGTTCAGAAGATCATTATGGATTTCCAGAGAATTAGTAGCATAATGCAGCACCAAATCTTTCAGAGTGGGATAAATATTATATGGTTCTGTGAATCCAAGTCCTTTACTGGTCTCATTGATAATGCAGTGATTGGTACTGCCATTACAAACCACTGAAAGAGCGTATTTGTTCATTTGTCTGGATTTTCTGACTAAAAATGTTCCATCTGGTTTACCCTCCAACAACTTTTCAGCTTCAGTACGAGAACAATCCAACATTAACCAGTACCGCTCGTCATTGTGTGGTAACGTATCTGTATCAACATCACATCCTTCAGATGGTTCTTCGATATTGGTGTTGAGAATCTGGTTGATTTTGGCAGGGGAGAAACCTCTTTGCTGTAACCACCTAACATACTTATCTCTTTCACGGGCCAATCCAACAATACCAGGCTTGAGAGAGGTCAATTCCCTTTCTAATACTTTCTTGTAAGCTTCCTTTTGTTTCAATATTTCCTCAAGCTGTTCACAACTTTCAGACATCAAGTTTAAACGCTTCTTCAATAACTCTGAATTGATTTCAAGGCTTTTTATTTCGTGAGGTTGTGCTTCGTTTTGTGATTTTTCTTGGATGGTTGTTTGATCTTTGAATAACTGTACCAATTCTTTCAAGGCATCTAAAGCATGCCTTTTTGTTTGTACTTCTGTAGAGGTTTCATTGAAATCTTTTGACACTGTCTCAGATATCTTATTCTTTTCAGCCAAATTTTGATTGATGTTTATTAGGTTTTCTACAAGTTTATCTATTTTTTCAGTCTTCGCCAATTCTTCTTCTTGGTTGTTCCTTGACACAGGATAAAGTAGCTTTATATCTAAAGAAGCATTGTACTGAGAGAGTGAATCATTCCGAAAGTGATTGATCAGTTCTACAACTGAATGAAATGTATATGGCTCAGTAAATCCATACATTCCATTCCTATGGCATATTTTAATAAGTTTATTCGCACCACCTTTCCGCAAAGTCAATGTGTATTCTCCACATTTACTCGATGCATCCCGGACTAAAAATGTTCCATCTACAGTGTCATTTAGCACTTCATTCACATCTTCCCTTTTGATACTGCCCCAGTACCATTCGGCATCCTGAAGTGACATGTTGTTTTTTTCTTTTTCCCTCTCAAGTAAGCTGTAATATACACTGCTTCCCATTCTGGAGACCTTTCTGGGGGGTATCGCTGGAGCAGATGCAAACTCTGGTAATTTTTCACCCCAGTCACAGTACAGCAACAGTAGCTCGACAATGCGATTATGGGCTTGAGTATTGTAGACAACTTGTCTGAAAAAAGAAAATATTTGAATTAGTACAAATCTTCAAGTGGATTTTTATCTAGTTTCCAGGTATAAAATTTTAATTCATGTGTCACTCATATCTAATCTATCTGTACTCAATTGAAGATTTTGCTTTATCTTAAATTGTAGAATAGACTTTGTCTCTATTGGGTTATATCTGATAAATTAATGTATCACCAATATAAATGTGCCATTGCCTCTCTTCAAAAATATTATTTAAACTTCTGGGAAAGAAAGGTTTTTGCTTTCTACTTCTCCATCTCTACACAAAAGAAATGTGGGAATCTTCCATTTCAATGTTTTCATAAAACATTCCACAGTACATCGCCAAGTAAGCCAAAATCTGATTACTTTGCAATTGAAATTTATAGACAGATCCCAAGTAATGCTAGAATATGCCTTTTCTTTCAGCAATAACATAAGCTGTTCCAATTATTTATTATTTTCATGATTAGCCAATAAATAGAGATATAATTTATCATTTTTCAAATTCCCAAATATAACAGACAGAGACAGATATTGATAGAATATATTGATTTTAATATTATATGTTGCATAGTAAGCATATTCAAGGAGAAATTATTTCAATTTCATCTTCAATAAAATAATTGGTATATTTCTAAAGGAAATGGTGTGTTTATTTATGATGTGATGAATATTTGTTTTGTCATCATGTCAAAGAAATAATATACTTTCTATACATTCTTCATATTTTCATTTCTGGATAGATATTTGTAGCTTTCCTGTTGCTTTCGTTTGAAAATTAAATGGAGGTAATTCCTCTGGTACTATAGGAATCAAAATTTATTTGAGGAAACTGTTGGCAAAACACAACACAACTCGATAGTAATTCAAATCCATTTCAATTAATAAATTAAAATCGAAGTTTCCCAAAATAAAGAGAAATATCGTGTTTTCAGTACCTAAAAACAACTTTTTGCAGCAAGATTATATTTTTATTTGAATACAGTCAACAGCTTCTAGAAAGCCTGAGTTGAGAATTCAGTTTGCAAAATATTTTTTTGGAGAATACATAATATATAAACTTACATGACACGTTCCCATGGTGGCCTTAGAAAGATGTGGCACATAACTTGTACTAAAACAGTTGGCGGACTCTTATTTCCTCTTGCATATTCTAGTTGACAAATACGGCATAAATGGCCCATGATAAATCTCAACGTCGACTTATGATGGTCTGGTAACTCTTCCACCAATTGTCTCAAAATTGAGGTACATTCTTCATCATTTCTCTTTTTGGAAGCTTCCAAAAACTTATCGTACCACTGAACTGGAACTAGAGGATCTGGTAGTTCTCTCAAGTATTTCTTGAAAACACTGGCAATACAAACAGGACTGAATTCAGATAAATTGACATTGTTTGAATTTTCTTCAATTCTTTTCACCAAAAGTTGAAGCTGATCAGATGGTGGGGTAGCACAATATAAATTATACAATTCTAAGGACTCACTGGCTTTTGCACGCTTTTCTAGTTCAAGCGCACAGTTAATCAACAACTCAGGAGCTGGAGAATCGCTCAACTTGAACTGACAGCACAGCCCTTGACCAAAAAACGATTTGAATTGAATGAAGTGGGATCTATCATCCATTGGACGGTGAGTGCAAGATGGAAGACCAGTTGCAGCACAAGTTCGATGGGCTACAAGCCCGCAGTCTTGACAAATGAATCCTTGATGCAAGAGCCCCCTCAGATATTTATTACATTTATCACATCTTTCCAAAGAACTGAAACTATGTTGAGATAAATTGTGAGCATAGTTTGAGTTGGAGTTCAAAGTTTCATCGTGCTCACTTCTTATAGAGAGTTTATCATCAGGTTTTTTGAGAAGTTCGTCTATGCAGGATAATATAGCCTTCTGATGGAATTCGTCTTTTATTCCCATGCCCTGGAATATAAGAAATAAATTAGCTACTTTTTCTTTGAGAATGACATTGAATTAATTATATTGGAAATCAAGGTAACAAAAACGAAAAAAAATTTTCTTCTTTTTCCCTTACTGTTTCCGGAAGCTTTCTTCAGTTCTGCTCGGAAAAATAGGCAAAAACTCTCCTGACAGCTCTGATGCTTCCAAGAAGATCTATATAAATTCATCAAAATAAATTATCAGAAATCAAACACGAGTTGAAGAATGCAATCCTGTTTAGGAAATTTATAATTTATTAAGTCATTTTGTTTAGATGAATAGTGACTTGACATCGAAAGACTCAATAGTGCATTCTAATAATATATCGTCCGATTCAATATTAAGTTTAGTTTATTATAAACCGAGAAATAAACTTAAAAAATGTTCAACAAGTAACGAATCTACACTCAAAATAAATAATTACAAAAGCATCATTTCAATACTCACAATCAACTTATCTCTGTCGAGATTTATCAGATCTGCTCCTTTGATGTCCTTGCACCTGAAGACGTCACAATAAGTGTAGAGATTTAGGGCTGCCATCCATTCTATCACATTGGATGAAGTCCACTCTGAGATAGGCTATAAAAATAAATAGTTTTAGAAATTTTGGTGAGATCAGATATATGATAAAATGTTATACACATAATCTTCAGCAAAAATAATATTCCCATCTCAGATCTCGCTTCACAATCTTTTTGTTTATCGATTTCAGAGGTGCAATTAGATTGTCATATTTGATATAAAAATTTTTCTTCAGTCATTTGAGAAACCCCTCTTGTCCAAAGATAATATTAACACCAAAATGTGGCAGATTTTTAAACAATGTTTCGTTTCGCTGTTTCTCAAACTGCTGTTTCAATTATGAAATATAGTAATTCGTGATTGTAAACACAGCTCTTTGTGAATTTTTATTTTACTTTGTTTTCAAATATCTCACTTCAAAGGTGATCAATGGAATATGGGACAACATCAAAATTTATTTGAAATATTTAAAAAGCTCAATTTTCAGATATTGAGGTAGGATAAATAAAACTAGAATTAATTATCCCTACCTTCAATTACATAATTAGTGTTATTGAGGTAGATGAATGGGTAAATATAAAAAAAGTTATTATTCACATAAAATGAGTTGCTTTTTCATAGACAACAATAAGCATTTCTAAATATAGAACTTTCAATAAAATAAAAAAAGTTTTATTTTCAAAAGATAATTATATATGAGAACTATAATTTGGTTGTGACTAATATTTTCCCTTTTTCCTATTATATTAAGCCAGTTATCGATCAATACATGGTCATATTTCATTTTCTTGAAAAGATCGCCAATCTTTGTGACAGTTTTCATTTTTTCTATAGTACTGAAGAATCATTTCTTCAACTATGAGTTAACGGATGACAGGGAAAATTCAAGGTCGTACCTGTTTTGTTTGATGTTAATGAATGGTTATTGAGATTTTATAGATCGTGAAGGGGTCGAAAAAGATACCAAACCAATCTCAAGATCGGAAGTTATTAGTTTTATTAGGGGGAAAGGGTTAGTTTCTTAGCGGCCAGACAATACTAATTTACTCATTCAAGAAACTGAAGTACAGAGATCGACTTGTGATGCACTGTTTGAAACCTTAGGTATAGTAATGACACTAGCATAGAAGGTGTCCTGATGATGGATTTTCTATATTCTTTTCTCAATACTTTGCCGTGAACATTTTTTAATAACATGATGTTTTCTGACCACTGTTATTCTATGTTTTTATGGATTTCCTCTAATGTGATTCAACTAGATCATGGTTACAGGTATGCATGGAGATCTACCCTTATGAAGGCGACATCTATGGAGGAGACTAACACCTTACTAAACCAACGCAAACAAACATATCCACGGTGGTCTATTGCGGAGCCAAATACGAAATAGCTGACTTTCTGTGCTTTCTATTTGGGACTTTAGTTTCACCTTAATTAGGACTGCTTTTCACAACAAGGGGGTGCGTGGAAACAAATTTTGTATAGACGGTGATAGATTGTGGTTAGCTGTTGGTCAATGGAACTATAGTGTGGGCTTCAGAATCCTTAATACTAAACCACAGTAAATAGTTATTATATATCAATATCCTACGTGGAAATGATAGTTTCTCTCAAAACAACCTACTTAAAGCAAAAACAATCATACGACTTATATTTGAGAAATTGAAAAACTCAAATATCGCATATTGGAGGATGGGAGAAAATAACTCTGTTATCGAATTTTACTTGGGTTAGAAGATTCCTTATCAATAAATAATCAGTTATTCAAAAATCAGAAAGACAAATCTGAAAGTAATAAATCATTCAACTTCAATATGAAGAAGTAACTCTAATTTTAAGACTACATATTATCTGCTGACATTAATTACCACTCCAACTACTCTAATTCAAATTAGTTGGTTTGTAATATTTATGTATCAAAAGAAACATGACTAGAAAGTTGTTGTTACTGACTAGTACACTTAGTAGATTTTCAGTTGAAAAAATGAGTATTTCATGTACTGGACAAAAAACAAAATATTTGGGAGAAAACCACAACAATTTTTCAAAATTATCTAAAAGGCAGAAAATCAGGAACCGACTTGTTCAAAAAACATCAGATGTGACTTGAGTAAAATAAAGAAAATAGGGATGTAGTTGAGAACAAAAACAGATACAAGAAACCTGTCATTGAAGAAATGCCTAAGCCACAAACTGAAACATTTTCCGTATTTTCTCCGCACTTATTGAGGGCCATCATTATATTTCGAACTATTTTTATATGGCACTTCAAATAATTGAATATGGAATAGGAAAACTGAACCATAAAATTCAACAACTTATGCTTAATATATTATTATCATGTTTGATGATCATTAATTCTGTTTGTTGCTGTTTTTCTAGTTCTTACGTTTTCTATATACAAATTAACTGAATGGCAATTGTAATTAATGTCCATTAATTTTCAGTGCTTTCCTGTGCCTCCTGTTCGGATGAACTAGGGTGGATCTTTCTTGCGATTGTTCAAGTTTACTTCAGAAAATTCAGTTCAAATTAATAAGGTAGGTATTTATATTTCCTCAGAATATACTGGTTTTTGAACGACTCAAAATCATAAGAATGAATTTAACAATGAGTGTCCACGAAATTAAGGTTTCATTAGAAAAAACAAACTGCGAAACTATTAAACGTCAAAATTCAGTTTTCTAATCTACCAATATGCTACCGATGCATGTAATACATTCACCTACAAAATACCTTATGTCAGAAAAACAACTGATACTACCCTGTGATGGTACCCAAAGATTGAATTCGGTTCGGTTTTATTTCGGCAAATACGAACTGTGCATGAGTGAGCTGTATATTCCCTCGGATCGCTGTTCCAGCACTATTAAGCAGCGTTGCCAAATCAACACAAAATAGGTCATTAACATAACATTGTATTTGTTCATAAACATCGAGGGCCAACAAAATTTCAAATTGTACTGTCAAAAATTTGCAAAGAGGACAGTGTAATGACCTACTTATATATTAGATACCAATTTCTTTACCTACCACCGAAAAATTACCGAAAAAAGTGGAAAGTAAATGTTGAACTACATATAATAATCGATTCTTTTCTCAAAAAAAAACATTGAAATGAGAAAAGTCAATGTTTCCTACTGAAATTTTGTAGCGAATGTAGAACAGTCAGTAGAAATAAAATTCGCAGACATGCGATTGAATTAAGCTGGCAACATAGGAACAACTGAGCAAAGAAGAACGAGATAGAAAAAGCGAGATAGACAGGCAATGTACGGCCGCATAGCAACGTGCAGGGCCTACTATTGGAGGACGAACCACCTATCGAACACGAGCATGCACAAAATCGAGAGTGTGCTCCACTGAGAGAAAATTATGTACAATGTACATAGTATGTATAATATGGTCCAAAACGAAAATTTTATCTTAACGCAGAGAAATGTATTGATGTAGTCGTTCTCTTGGAATAATACGCTGCCACGCATCGAGCAAATTAATATTTATAACACTTATGCTTAGTCGGGTTTTTATTTGCAAAAGTCCAATTACATTATATTATGCTGAATGCTGTAAAGTGAAATTGCGGATCGTAATGAGGAAAATATTGATATGAAAAAAGTATAAATGTATCTTTCACTTAATTCAGTTGTGCTTACAGATATTACGGGGTCTATTTGATTGTGTTTGACGTTTCTTGTGAAGTGATACGGATTTGAACCTATATTGTTCAGATGCATTACCAATTTTCTGTTAATACTTTTTATACTTTTGCTTAGACAGCTTGCTCACTTTGAATGTAAGTCAGAACAAATCTGGTGTGATTTATTAGGAGGGACCTGATTTGTTTCTATTTTTCATTAGACTAGGAATGCCACTTTCCTAATACTTATTCGGCTCACGACCTCTACATTTTAATTTGGCATGCTGACTTGGACACAACTTACCTATACCAGAACTCAAGAGTATCCAATCAATGTATAGGGGCTGTTCAAAAAGTAATACAAAAACACTCTGGAATATTTTTCTTCCATACATATGCTTTTTCTGAAGTCTCCTGAGAAGAAAATTGACGTTACACGTCAGCAAGATCCAATCATCGAAAAATTAGAAGAGTACGCTGCTTACGAATTTCTTAAACAGCAATAAGATTGTTTTTCAGAAATAATGAAGCCAGATGGACACCTATACAGTTCATAACATCTCAACCAAACACACTGACAAAATTTTACGTTATAATGTTGAGCAAATTTTTCATTTCTAGGGAGTACTTCTGAGTATTACTATGCTCTCTATGCAGGTGTAAAGGAATCCATTCAAGCCGAGAATTTGATCCCTGCTGCCGCCTTGAAGACCTTCAGAATTTTATTGAAATATATTTATACAGGTCATAGGTATTTTACAACTTCTAGTGATGAGGTTGTATTGGATGCTAAAGGATTTCAAGATTTGGAAATAGTAAATTCAGATCTCTTTCCGCATATGTCTGTGCGATTATTATTGATACGCCATATTCTACATAATGGAAAAACTTGTCAAGTCTGTTATGAATTTATATAAGCATGTACCAGATATAATGGCCCACTCATGTAACTCATAGTCATTTTTGGTCGTACTTCTGAAAAGAAGAGCATTTTTCACCCCCGAAGTAGAAATATGTTGAGGTGTTTGGAATTGGTGTAAAAGCAAACAAAGAATGGTGGTTGAAAGTATCGAATCAAGTCGTATGGCAATGGTTCTACCTTCTAATTCATCTCAAAATGAATTATTGATTATAATTCTAATTCGCCCGAATAATATTGTAAAGTATTGTATGGAATACGCAATTATCATCAGTTGATAGTTGGATACAACTCAAAAAGTGAAGTGAAACTAGAATACGATCGGCAGTTTTGGTTTTGAATGTCATCAATATCCTTTAAAGCATATTTTTATTACTTTGAAAGGCAACTCTAGTAAGTGCTGATCGAAAAGGCTGGTTTGTTTCTACAGCGTGTGCCGCCAGGATATACATGAACCATAAGATATGAAAACGTGATAGGCTGGAAGAATCAATTCCATACATAGCCCTGAAACAGTTTGGGGTCAATAAAAAACAAAGAATACTGGGAAATTGTTGACATATACACGAAGAAAACTGAACCAGTTGTGGAGGTACAAAAATCAGGATAATATAAAGAATACTGAAAAAATGTACCCTGAAATACGCTCGTGATAACTATATAACAGTTTTTAAAGCTGTAGATAATCCATCAAAGGGACAGAGATAGGTTTTCTTGTCTTATATTATGCACGTCGTTACAGAAGCCAAACAATTACCAAAATCATTCTAGAATATAACAACATACAAGAAATGACCGAACAAATTAGTACAGGGAACAAGAATGTTAAAATAGATGTTATGAAACGATAAGGAAAAACGTAATACGTCTGCAGTGTTTTCCGTAGATTTGGAAGAAATTGAGAAAAAAAGCACCGGTCTACTAAGATTGAATTAGTAGAGAGAGAATTAGTGATTTTTAGAAGATTCCGGAAATTGTAGTTGGTCGCTCAAACTGGCTAACCCAAAACTAGAAGCTGATCAGATTTCTCTGGCCAGTTTAATAAACATTTTGGTAATAGATTTATCATGGAAATAATAAAAATGGAAAATAGCCGTAGTGATGAGCAAAACAAACCAATCCTTCTAATTTTGTTAGTCTTGTTTCGCATTCTATGATTATCTACTGTTCTAGTCCTGCCTAGCTGACAAAAAGTATCTGGGTTTATATATGGTTCTCATGGCTTCATAACAGCCGTGGTAAGTATTCTGAAGACACCGATTGTGTGTGAACTGTGTGAACAGCTGTTCAAAAAGAAACTAATGACCAAATTATCAATTCTCAACTACCCAAAAAACACCTCGTATATTCCAAGAAAATCTGAATCAGGCAAAGTTATTCATTCAAACTGTCGAAGCAATTCAATCAATTAATTTATCACAATAAAGTCAAATTTCTATTCATATTTCACTATAATTATTTTTGTAAATCTTTTAATAGACATAAGTTTGTCAACTTTGGCTGTCTTACATGTGTTCACTTTAAATATATATTCAGCTATTATTAATTTTCGAACTAATAACATAGCGAGATATTTTATATACATTTGACGGTTTTTCTGGAAAGAAATTTTGGCACCTTTTCGGAATTACATAATAATGGTCGTCCAATAAATGAATTGATATACGAAAATATTAAAGGGAGAAATTATCATCTAAGAACAAAATTAATATTAAATAGTGTTTTTATTGGTATAAAGTTGGAATCATACACATAATATTACATTTTTGTTAAAAAAACAAGCACAGAAAATGTTTTTAAGTTTTTCAAGATACTAAGATTCGTGAATTGCGTTGTATACACGTTCTTATT